TAAACCCCTAAACCCCTAAACTTAGAAGCCAAGGCTACCACCCCACGGGCGGAGGACAGCCCTGGGACTCCCTGGGAAGGCCCTGCCAGTGCCCTGGCTTTTTAATTTTTTTTTCGTGAATTGAGGGGGTCTCCTGGCTCAGGAGTTTTTTGGGCGGTTTCTGGTTTAGGGTTTAGGGTATAGGGTTTAGAGATTAGGGTATAGGGTTCAGGGTTAAGGGTTTAGTGTTTAGGGTTTAGGGTTAAGGGTTTAGGGTTTAGGGTATAGGGTTTAGGGTTTAGGGCTGGCGGTGCCTGGTGTCTCCTGGTTCAGAGTTTCTTTCTTGTTTCAGGCTTTCAGGTTATGGGGGCTTCAGGGTCTAAGCCAGTGCCCTGGCTTTGGAGCTTTTTTTGTTTAAAGGGTTTCAGGGTTTGTATGGGGGTTTTAGGGTTTCGGGATTTCNNGGGGGGGGGGGGGGGGGTTCAGGTGTCTCAGGGTTTGAGGTTTCGGGATTTAATGGTTAAGGGTTTAAGGTGTTAGGGTGTTGAGGGGTTTCAGGGATTAGGATGTTTAGGGTTTGGAGGTTTTAGGATGTGGCGGTTTTGGGTTTCGGGGTTTCAAACTCTTTTGGGTTTTGCGGTGTTGGGGTGTTCAGGGTCTGAATGGGTTTGGCGGTATGTTGGGATGTTTAAGCTGACGGGTGGCAGAGTGAGGAGGAAGCGCCCGCTCTGGGGCTTTCTGTTATAGGGATCGCTTCAGCAGGCGACACTCGCCAGGAGCGATCATGATGGACATCAATGCTGCATGTTCTGAACACAAATTCCACCGTTCTGTTGACAAGTTGATAAAGACTTGCAACACATTTCACCCGAAACAAGTCAACCCTTCAACCTAAACAATTGATTCTGACCAAACGTTCTGGCTCCTTGAACTATAACTAGACTCAAACCGGGTGCCAATCTGTAGCTATGCTCAGTTTCCTTTCTGGTCTTGTACAGGTACGTATTCACAAATACCTCAATCCGTAAACAACTACAACCACCCTGAAACCCTAAAGCCCTAAACCCTACAAATCAGGTGGGGCTCGGTTCCAAAGCCGTACCGCGTCACCAGCACCTACTGGGTCGACCTCAACGTCGACAACATGAAGGCTGAGGTGTACTGAAGCTTGTCTATTAGGGGGGTTTAGGGTTTAGGGGTTTAGGGTTTAGGGTTGAGGTTTCTGAAGCTTGTCTATTTTACATCCACAAGTAGTATAAGGACACCTGAAAGGAGTGCTACTGGTAATTGTCAAGGCTCCCTCATTACCGATTTAGGGGTTTGAGGTGAGGGCTTAGGCATAATATATGTGTTCTGGCCCCAGAATTCCTGAATTCCTCTATTTCTAAAGACAAAAGTCCAGGCAATGGTCCCTTCACAGTGGCTTTCGAAGTCTATGACAACTTCTTTGGCTACTCAAGCGGAGCCACTGCCTCAGGAGGGGTCACTTCTTCTGGTTGGCTCCTAGCTCGCTTGGCACCTTTGACAGAACCTGTACTGCACCTAAAGTCCTAAGGCCAAAGCACTAAAGGCCCAAAGGGTTTAGGGTTTAAGGTTTAGGGTTTATAGGGTTTAGGGTTTATAGGGTTTAGGGTCCAAACCTTTGAACCCTGAACCTCTAAATCTAAATGCCGCATTTATATTTGTTAGCTTCGACCTTCAGAGCGCATCCTCCAGTCAATACGAAGCCCTTAAAGCCCTACCTAAGTCCTCTGATTCCAAACCCGAAATCCCGAAGAGTGGGAGAAGCGTTTATGGGGTTTAGGGGTTTAGGGTTGAGGGTTTAGACCCCACACTCCGATCCCCGTAGCCCCGCCCAAACCCTCAGGCAGACATATGATGTAATTCGTATAATTTAGGAGCCTAAATAATTGCCAGGGCTATTTTTTTTGGGGGGGGTCCTTATTATAGCTATACTATAAAGGAGCCCGAAGCCATATTCTAGTTTAGGCCCCTATAGTACCCCGATTCGTCACAAGAATCGACTTGCCAGCGGTATGCTGCGTGAACAGTCCAGTACTGGCCTGGTGACACATTACTACTCGGAGGTTCATGGGGCTTAGTAAGGTTTAGGGTTTAGGGTTTATGGCTAAGTACAGTTATAAGTACCTTAATTGGGGTTATAAGTATTTATAAGTATAGCTACCTTATTTATAACCCCAGTTACTAAGTCCCATGAACCTTTAAGTAGTTCTTTTTTGGGGGCAGGTTGCAGGAGCACACAGCATCACTCGGCAATCCTGAACTTGTGTAAACGCCGGAACCCTAAACCCTAAACCCTAGACCCTTGGGCGGACCTAATCCGGTGATGCGGCCAAGTAAACCAGGGCACTGACAGATGAAAGCAGAATCTGCCCATGTAGTACATACCTTAGCCCACCAAAACCCACTTTTTTGCAGGGTCCCGATATATCCCATATTAGTTTCTAGAATAAGAACCTACAAAAAGCGGGTTTTGGTGGGTTAAGGTAGGTCAGAATGATTGACTGATTACTAAAGCCATCCTCCCTTCACAGCAGCCCACTGCAGTGGTAACTAACTGGGCTGCATGGGGCTAGCCTGGACCCAAGCAACCCCTCGCTCACACAGAGAGTCAGTGGGGTCTATCATTATGGCCTCGTCTTGGGTTCAATGCTAGGGTACCGTAGGGTTCCGGGTGCAAGGTCTACAAGGAAGTCAGTGGGGGCATTGCCGGGGGCCATGCGGTGGTTTTGGTCGGCCACTCAACGGCAAGAAGCAGACTTAGGCCGAGGCTCCCCCCGCCCGGAATGCGATTGAATTTGGGGTACGGTTGCGACCCAAAGTAATCAGGTACTATTTGTATACCCTATAAACCCTAAGCCCTAAACCCTAAACCCTATAAGCCCTGTAAACCCTAAGCCCTAAACCTTGGAGCCCTAAGGGGTACGGCATTCAGGATGTTGCGATGGTTTGGGCGGGATAGGTTTGCAATTGTAGAGTTGGGGCTCCTGTGTTCGAGGTGAGGTGTTTGTGGCTTTGAAGACAGCACTTAGGATGGACGGTTTAGGGTTTAGGGTTCGGCTTTGGTGGCTTGTGTGGTACCCTTTCCGATCTATGCCCCATCGTGCCCCCTAAACCCAGAAAGCGTATGCAGTTTTGGGTTTGGGTGTATGCTGCAGGCGGGCCTATGCAGCCCCTGCGGACCCCAAACAGCCGGAGACCGAAGATTGAAGCAACAAGACCTTGAATCTTTGACCCAACAACGCCAAGCCCAAAAGCCGAAGCCCACACATCAGCTAATTGGTCGTGGTATCTCCCTTTTGGTCCCTATGCAATTACGCATTATCTCTCTAGAAGTCCATGAACCCTCTTGTTACTTACGACCCCTTTGAGAAAGATATGGACCCAAACCCCAAACCCTAAAGCAAACCCTAAACCCTACAACCAACAACGCAAACCTTGACCCCGAATCCCAAAGTCGAAAGCCCACACCCAAAACTTAAACCCCAAAACGCAAACCTAAAGCCCTGAAGCATTTCTTCGGAGCCTTTTGAAGCCCCCTGTGTCTGAGTCTTCTGGCATAAAGCATCTTTCCGGGAGCCCCGCAACTTGCCCCTGTCGGTTCCTTGTAAAAAGGCCGGTTTAGGGTATAGGGTATAGGGTTTAAGGGTTCCTTTAAGACGTTTAAGGGTTTAGGGTTTAGGGGTTCCTTTAAGACGTTCCTTGAAGAGTTAAGCTCGCAATTTGGGTACTCTTAGCAAACATCTGGGGGCATAATCGAGGGGCTACTAGAGATCGAATAGTTATGGTGCTTATTTTGGATATATGGGGTATAGACGAGGCAAGTTCGGGGTTTAGGTTTGTCAACAGTTTAGGATCTGTGTGGCTCACCAGGGCCTCAGCAAGCAGTACTCACTGTCTTCATTGTCATGCGGCTGAGGATATGGCACCTCGAGCTCTGACGACTACTGGGAGCTGATGAACAGATGCTTAGCTTTCACAGCAGTCTCCAACTTTCGGGAGTTTGGGGGCAACACATAGAGTATAGGGTCAGGTGCTAAGGGGGGTTCCACAGCACGAGAATGAGAAACGACGGGGTTAGCGGAATGAGCGAAACTTCTGTGTTCCGAAAGCATCTTCCCTGAACCCTAAAACTTGGACCCGAAGCCCTACTTACTCACGGCCCCAAAAACCGAAACCCTAAACCCTAAAGCCGAAACCCCAATTACTTCCGGCCCAAAACCCTATCCACATCCGGCAACACTGAGGCCCTGTCGGCCCTCCTGACCCGAAACCTTATAAGCCCCGAACCCGGAAAGCCTAACCTGACAGGCTTAGGCCCTAAGTAGACCTCGGAAATATAGTCTTAGAGGATCTGGGTTTTACGTTACGGGGTTTTTGTAATTTAGGGTTTGAGGGCTTTAAGCCTAAACGAAGCTCTAGCACCTAGAGGAACAGTAGAACCCAGTCAGAAATAATCCAACAAAACCTCTACGTACACGATTCTTGCAAACCCTAGGAAACTGCAAGCTTTGCAAAAACCTCTCAAAGCTGCGCATGCTCGTTACCTAGAGAGTCCATCTATACTACCATTATGGAGTTAGGTCCCAAAAGATCATCCCTGTTATGGTTTTGCGGACCTGGTTCCATCATTGTAGTATCTGTGGACCGTCTGGGTTATGAAGATCCGGACATGGGTTCCCAACGTCGTGCTGGGATCCTTTCCGCAGGGTCACACTCCGACCAATCGGATCTCTATAAGGGTACGGTAGCAGTGGGGTTTAGGATTTAGGGTTTAGGTTTAGGATTTAGGGTTTAGGGTATATAGGGTTTGTAGGGTTTACGGTTTAAGGTTTAGGGTTTAGGGTTTCCAAGCTTGTATATATTTGGGTTCTATCACTTAATTAGTCAGGGTTTCACAGGGCTCTAGAAAGGGATCCATATGGGTGCTGATTCGACTTTGAATCCCTGTAAACCCCACCCGGGTTTAGGGCACCATAAGGGTCGATGTCCTAATGGGGTACTGTAAAGCGTTCAATGCATCTGTTAACCACTCATAATCCCACAAATCCTAAACTATCGTTCTTTGCTTGTATGTGAAAATATCTGTATAGATGTAAATAGAAATATGATTTGGTATACTTATGTATGTATGTATGTATGTATGTATGTATGTATGTATGTATGTATGTATGTACAATACGCACACACACACAGGAACAACTCTCTCTCTCTGTCTCTCTCGCTGTGTCTGCCCCTTCTCACTCACTCCCCAAACTGGAAACCCAAAATAATAGCACACCTACAGCACTCGATGAAAAACCTGTCATAGATAGCAATAGTACCCCCACGGTCCCCATTACCCTTAAACGAGCCCTTTCAGGAACCCTATTGCTACCTCTAACCCCTTAAACTCTGAAGCCCTAAAAATTGAAACCGTTGGCCCCCACACTTCGGCTTATTAGGCTGGGGCAGCGGATGGGGCGACGGCGGCCGCTCGGGTGAAGCCTTCAAGAACTAAGTCCCAAGGTGGAGCGTTCAGGGTTTAGGGTTTAGGGCTTGCGGTTTAGGGTTTAGGGTTTGGGTCTTACGGTTTAGGGCTCACGGTTTATGGCATTTTTGTCTTAAGGCGGCTCGAGTACATTCTTAAGGCTCTTTGAGGGGAGTTGCATTATGTCTGAATGCGAGACACCTTCGAGTCTGAGGTCACGTGAATGATCAGAAGGGTTGGTGATGATGAGAACGAGGATGCTCTGGTGACGATGTTGGGATGAGAATGAAGAGCCACGGTTTAGGGTTTAGGGTTTAGGGTTTAGGGTTTGGGGTTTAGGGTTTAGGGTTTGGGTAAAAACTGGCTGTTTTGGCCCACCCACTTGCACGAGGATGAACCACTTGTCCTCCCCGAACCGTAAACCCTAATCAAACAACCCTCAGTAAACCCTAAATATAGGCTACGCCTACGCCAAGATACCCGGAAATGTTTCCCAGACACCTAAAACCAAATCCTTAGAACTACTCCGAATCGCTATAAGCAAACAAACCCCAAGTAAGCTCTTGGGTTTTTCAATTCAAGACACTTCCTTGAAAGTACCCCTGGTTCCCTGGCACACCCTAAACCACGAGGATACTTCAAGCACATGTAGGGAGGGAACCGTCAGCCTCTCAGCCCCTCCAATCCAAAAGCCCTATAATGTAGGGGCCTTAATCATCAGAATGGGGTGTTGGGGGCTCCTCATCATAATTATAGTACAAGGGGCCCCAAAACCCTATTCTAATTATTAATTATTAAGGCACCCGAAGAACCCTCTCAAAGAATCGTTTTTTTAAGGGTTCCTTTACGGGTTCCTTTCAGGCTTCCCCGAGACTCCCAAGGCTGCTTCAAGGGTTCTTACAGGGGCTACGGGGGCTTGGGCTTCAGGGTTGCGGGCTTCGGGCTTAAGTGGTGGAGTTTATAACTGGAGGTTTCTTCAGGTTGCCAGGGCTTAGGGTCAAAAGTTTAGGGTTTAGGGTCTCTGGGTCCTTGTTGGCTACAATTGTACATTTTTGTTGTAATAAAATAATAAAACCCAACAAGGATTAAACATGATCGTTTTTAATATAGCCCCAACCAGGAACCAGGTTAACCCTAAACCCTAAACCCTAAACCCTAAACCCTAAACCCTAAACCCTAAACCGTAGGGTTTAGGGCCTTGAGGTTTCTTCAAGATGCTGCGCGGAGTCAACCTTGCCTCGATCGAGCCGTCAACCTACTGGGGGGATCCGCGTTTAGGGTTCAGGGTTCAGGGTTTTGATACAGGGGTCTTAATAGTTAGAATTGGGATTGGGTTTTAGGGTTTAGGGTTTAGTAATTTTGGGTGTTGGGCTTGATTTTCAGGGTTGAGGGTGTAATATAGGGACCTTGATAATTAGAATAGGGCTTTCGGGCCCATCATGCTATAGTTACAATAAGGAACCCCCAGAATAGTAGCCCCCTAGGGTTCAGGGTTTTGCCAGTAAGGTACCCTCATATTCTCCTCGTGTAACTATTTCATATATTACACCGTGTAGTCTTCGTTATATGGCTATACTGTAAGATTGTAAAATACACCTTATGATATGTATGTACCTGTATTTTTGATAGTTGAGGCCGCCGTGTTAGAATGTCCTGAGTTTGCTTATCAGAGTTAGGGTTCGTTTGAGAAGTGTCCTTGAAGGGTTGAAAATCATAAAGGTTCATACATGGAATTCCCATGTTTTTGAGATTTCGGCGGAGAGTGGGGCTGTAGGACGTCAGGGAACTAGCACTTGGCTCGACTCGCTTCAGGGTTTAGTGTTTATTGGTTAAGCTTTGCCCCGATGCATATCTGGCCGAAGCAGGGTGTTGGCCCTTGTGGTGACTTTTTAGGGCTTAGTTTTAGGTCGTACCTGAAGCCTTGAAGTAGGGAAAATCATGGCCCAACAGCCACAAAAGGCTATTATTCTACATACTCTTGGGGTCAAAGTATGACTCAACACCCCATGCACGCACGCACTGCAACTTGAGCACAGCATCCTCTCGGGATCTTTCTGCCTGCCTAGGTCAACAGGAACGTCGTACGTATAACTGTATAACCTCGTGCTCAGGAAATTTTGTTTGAATCGTGCAAAACAGCGACCTGTCCATTCCAAGATTTACAGTATTGGGGTCATAGTTGAATCAGGCACATGGATGGTACAAAGAGGCATGCCTGGAACGAAAGCCGGCCCCAAACTCCTAGACCGAGGGCCCCTAAACCCTAAAAGCTTCCTGGGTTTAGAGTTCGGGGTTTAGGGTTTAGGGTTTAGGGTTTAGGGGTTTAGGGCTCAGGGTTTAGGCTGCAGAGCATAGCCAGACGCAAGTTCAGACTCTTCATCCGTCGGTGCTTTATGCTGCGCCTTATCGTAGTTTGATAGAGTGATGGCCTTTAAGATGCATGCTTGTAAACCCCCACACCCCAAAGAAACTTCGAAGCTCGCAGTCAAGCCGTAAGCCTGAAGCCTGAAGCGGGTGTCCCTAAAGACCAGGAGCCCTAAGCCCGAAACACCGACCTCACCTCCCCTGAACTCGATGCCTGGCTCTTCAAAGGTCGTGGGGCAGCTCAGCCGCCCATGTGGAGAAAACACAAGGGCCTCGGGGCTCAGATATATCCAGAAAGCCGGTTATGTATAGTTTAGGCATAAAAATTACAAGGATATGTGCATGTGTATATATATATATATTATAGATATGCATGTAGGTAGGTAGGTAGGTAGGTAGGTAGGTAGGTAGGTAGGTATGTATGTCGACTTGTGTGTGTGTGTATATATATATATATGTGCATTCATTCTGTTGTACTTATCAGTCTATCCTTGAGATACGCAGGGCTCCCTCTCTCTGGGTGCAGGAAGGCGGGGTGGAGGATGATCAAGGCATTTTCAGGGTTTAGAGCTTTAGGGGTTTAGGGCTTTAGGGTTTAGGGCTTTAGGGCTTTAGGGTTTAGGGTTTCAGGATTTAGGTTTCAGGGCTCGTCCATCTCGTTTCTTCGCATTTCACCGGCTTCTTGAGCGAAATCCTGAGAATCCCTGATCCCTACCCTAGCGTGTCGAAGGGCTCCTCAAGGAAGGGGGGGTCTCATGAGGGATTCCGTTAGCCTTGTGACTGTGGCTGGCGTGTAGGCGCGCAATCCTGCAGTAATCTGTCGGGTCGTTTTGCGTAATGTAGGGTCCTAAGTAGTTACCAATACTATTTTTGGGGTTCCTTTTTATATTTGTAGCATAAAGGAGCCCAGAACCCTATTCTAATTATTAAGCCCCCTATATTCGGGGTTCCGGCTTGTTTGCGTTTCGAGTGATGGTCCAGAGTTGAGGGTTCCCTCCTCGCTTGCATCTTGGGGCCTTTATTATGTTCAAGAGCCATACCTATAGTTACCTTATAGGATTCTAAATAGGAACCCCCAAAAAGGAACTACTATGGGGCTTATGGGTAAGCCCTAAGCTTTACCCCAAATCAGCATCCCCAAAACCCAAAACCCGAAACCTGCGGTCCCGTTTAGGGCTTAGGTTCTAGAGAAGCTTAGGGGTGACTTATTAAGGGGCCTACGGCTTTAGGGTCTAGACATTAAGAGCTTCAGGGTTTCAGAGTTTCGTCTCCCGTGCCTGCTCTATGCCTCTTCAACTAACCTACGGTTTCGGGGTATGTTGTAGTATACCCATGTGGGAGCTGCCGGGGATACGATAGATGGTGTCTGAATCACTGGAGGGCCCAGGGTGAAAGAAAGTGTTTAACTTTTCTTGAACAAGGGCCTTGGCCTGTTTTGAATCCTCCGTGGCCCCAACTGGGTCGTTGTCTAAATTAGGGTTCCTTTGTTTGTCCTACTAAGGGTGCCGTACAATATTTTGGGGACCTCAAACGGGCCTTAATGTACAGAGCTACCCAAATGCCTTCCAAGCAGACCACATGAGGCGTTTCAGCGTGGAAAGAAGGCGAAACCCGTGCCTGCCGAAACGCAGAAACATTCCCAGGTTTAGGGCTTAGGATTTAGGGTTTAGGGTTTATAGGGTACAGGGTTTAGGCTTTAGGGTTTAGGATTTAAGGTTTAGGGTTTAGGATCGTTTCATCCCAGAGGTCCTGGGTCTACGACGAATGGAGTGGATGCGTGCCTGAAGGGGGCCCACCTGCTGGCCAGGCCCCTCGGCAAACCCCTACCCCAGAGACTTCAGCAGCCGTACCTGAACCCACCAGAACCCACTCTTTTATAGGGTCCCTATAAATCCCATATTAGAGTTTTTAATTAGAACCTACAAGAAAGTGGGGTTTGGTAGGTTAAGGTAAACCCTAATTAAGTCCAAAGATCCTTGATGTAATTAATCGTTCCCAGAGCCAAGAAGAAGCTTCAGCAACATTAATGCCTAAACGCTGGGCTCGGTGGACCCAAGCCTGAAGTCTACACAAGCTCTGTACCGCATAGTGCTTTAGCTTTCTAACCTTTAAACCTAACCCTAAACCCTGAACCTTAAACCCTACACCCGCCATAAGCGACCCTGAACCCCGAACCGATGTTGAACTATGTATGCAGGATCCCGTGCTTAAGTTTCGGGGAGTATTTTAGGGTTTAAAGTTTAGGGTTTTGCGCATAATTCAGAGGTCTTGGAGTCTTGCTGCCAACCCCGAACCCTAAACCCTGAACCCTAAACCCTAAGCCCGAAGCCCAAAACCCAATGCCCTCCAGAACCCAACAGCCCTAGACGTGACAGCAGCCAAGGGGCTCACTGCGGAGTATTTCTACTTTACGCAAGGAGACCATCCTGGGTTGTTTGGTGTAGGGTTTAGGGTTTAGGGTTTAGGGTTTGGGGGTTTAGGGTTTTGGGTTTAGGGTTTTTAGGGTTTGGGGTTTTTAGGGCTTAGGGTTTAGGATTTCAGGGTTCGGGGTTTGGGGGTTTAGGGTTCAGGTTTATATGATTGGGGGTTTGGGTTGTATTTTGAGGCTTGGGTTCTAAGTAGTTCGATATGATTCAATGGCTTCGATAGTACATGTTTCAGAATTTGGCTTGAGGGGCTGTGCCCTAAACCTCAAACCCAAAACCCCTAAACCCAAAACCCTAAACCGTGTAGCACACAGGATTCCAGGAGGGTCCCCTTCTGCCAGCTGACTTGTCACAGGCTTTATGAGGATGTGCCGACATTCAACGCTCGCTACGATCCAAACCCCGAAATTCCTTGTAATATAGGGGCCTAGATAAGTACCAATGTTATTTTGGGGGTTCCTTATTATGATTATAGAATACTGGGCTCCAAAACCCCATTCTAGTTATGACGGCCCTTACATTAAACCGCTCTAACCATGAAGCCGTTGTCCGTAGAGTCTCACTGACTACCAGACCTCGCGAGAACCCCTGCTGAGTCTTTTTCCCTACCACACACTCCCTATATCTCTACCTTAAGAACCCAAAACCCACTTTTTGGTAGGTTCTTATTATAGACCAAAATATGGGATTTATAGGGACCCTACAAAAAGTTAGGTTTTGGGCTCTTAAGGTAGATCCTAAAACCCCTGATCCCTAGAGCCTTCGATCCTGCTCCCGCAGAACTCTAAAGAGACTTATACAGACTGGGGTGATGATGTGGGGAATCCAGGGTTCTTAGGGTTTCGGATTCCAAACTCTATAAACCCCAAACGCTGAACTCTTTCCGAATCCCCACTATGCCAGAAGCAGGAGACGCAATCCCGGACTTCGCGGGCAGAACGCCAGATCTGGAGCGCGTTGCGGCTCGGATGGCAGAGACTTTTTAGGGCTTGACCCTAGACCCTAAACCCTAAACCGAAGGGGGGGGGTTGCAGATTTATGGGGCTTAGTAACTGGGTCTCCCAGTGGGCCCTTCTTCCCTTTTTGAAGCCCTAGGTTTCTTACAAAGGTATCAATACCCCAAAAAGTTTCATCCTAGGTTACTGGGCGTAGTAAGTACAGTTGTAAGCACCTTGATTCGGGCTGTAAGTGTGTATGAGCATCCCTAAGGCCCTGAACCCTGAAGCCTAAACCCCGCCCTAAACACAGACGATACAGCTGAAGCCTTACGAACCCTCACCATCAACCCAAACCCCTAAACCCTAAACCCTCAAAGCCAAACCCTAAACCCTAAACTCCTAAACCTTAAACCCTAAACCCCAAACCCCTAAACCTCAAACCCTAAACCTTAAACCCCTAAACCTGAAACCCAGGACCTTAATTGTGGATGCTCGGACAATGGGCAGACGCAAGAAGTAGTCAAACAGCACTACCTCAGCCGAAACCCTAGTCCCTGAACCGTCACGGCACATCCACTACCAGGATGGCAAAAAAGCCTAAACCCTAAACCCTAGACCCTGAAATTGCCAGGATGGCACGGTCAATTTCAAGAGCGATTTTGGCCTTGAGGTCAGTTGCTAGGCTGCGACAGAGACTCAGAGGTCGTTCTGGGTTTGGGGGTTTAGGGTTT